GCCTTGCCTCCCCCCCGTGACCCCCTCCTCACCAGCAGCCCCCCCTGGAGGAGAGTCGCCCCTGAGCGTGGCCCATGCGGAGCAGCGCAGCCAAGGACATGGCAGCCAGGCAGTGTAGACAAGAATCTGGTCTCATGCTCCATCGCGCACAGATGATGCTGTGGGGCGCGGGCAGAGGGCGTGGCCGCCATGGCGCTGCTGGGCTGCCTGGGCGATCTGCGGCGGACCTTGGAGGTAGTAGGTGGCCCTGCGGGCAGGCGGGGTGCGGGCGGGGCAGGGAGCGGGGGCGGGGCCAGTTTTTGGACACTTGGTCTCTAAAAGGTTCGCCATCACTTGTCATATACTGAATTTGCACTGGTGACTTGCAGAAGATATAGCAAACTCTGGCTTAGAGTTGTGGACAAAGTTTTGTCCTTTACATTCCAGAACTTTTGGTCTCAGACTATTTTAATAACAACAACAACAACAATAATAATAAGTTGGAAAGGACCTTGGAGGTCATCTAGTCCAGGGCTTTTCAACCTTTTCACCCATTGTACCACTTTTAGGATATGGCACTATCCGAGTACCACCAGTCGCCTAGCAAGGTGTCAAAAACTTGGTGACCCATAAAAAAAGGAAAAAAAATGATGAAGTACAGGTAGTCCTCGACTTACAACAGTTCACTTAGTGACTGTTCGAAGTTACAGTGGCACTGAAAAAAGTGCCCCCCCAAGCCACAGCCGAGCAAGACACCTGCCTGCCCACCTAGCAGTGCTCTTCCTCCTGTCCGAGGTTTTCATTGTTGTAAGCATTTCTGTTGAGGATTGGTAGCAGGGGTGGGGTGGAGGTGTTTGGTTTTTATTCCCCCCGTCTGCTGGGTGGTTGCAGCAGGTTTTGGTCCCTTCACATGACCCTGGGACACTGTGACCGTCATAAATATGAATCAGTTGCCAAGCATCTGAATGTAAATCAGAAGACCCTGGAGAGGCTGCAACATTCCAGCTGATCGGCGCTTCTTCTGGGCTCAGCAGAAGTGCCAGGATCAGCGCTGAGCTCCAGCTGGAGCTGATCCTGGTGCTTCCGCTGAGCCCTGACAGCCCTGCAGCTCCAGCCGTCTCTCACTCAGGCTTGTGTGGTGCTGCCGCCGGTTCAGCTCATTCCCCTCCCCCACTACCACTTTTCTAGGATGGTCACGTACCACCTGCCAGGTGCCAATGTACCACAGGCGGTACCCGTACCACTGGTTGAAAAGCCTTGATCTAGTCCAACCCCCTGCTCAGGCAGGAAACCCTATACAATTTCGGACAAATGGCTGTCCAGTCTCTTCTTAAAAACTTCCAGTGTTGGAGTATTCACCGCTTCTGGAGGCAGGTTGTTCCACTGGTTAATTGTTCTCATGGTCAGGAAGTTTCTCCTTAGTTCTAGGTTGCTTCTCTCCTTGATGAGTTTCCATCCGTTGCTTCTTGTCCTGCCTTCAGGGGCTTTTTCTAAGAGTGCTATTGTCAACGCTGCTAACATTGGATGTTTTTGCTTTGACAACAGATGGAGATGCATCCTTTTCTTCTTATGTTTTACTCTTAGAATTAGAGCTAGAGTTAGATGATGCTGGGGGGAGGAATGTGCCTGAGAGATGATGATGATGATGATGATAATCCTGAACCTAGTGTATGAACCAAGGTTATTGAAATAAGAGATGATAACAATTGGTGGGCTGGAGAATTGGAGGGAAAGCCTGCATTTCAAACTAATTGGGGAATGTGATTTATGACTTAATTGGAGGAGGGGATTGTGCTTTGATACTATGGGCTCAGGGGAAGGGAATCCAGTTTTTGGCTTCGATCATGCCACGCTTCTCAAATAAAGATTCTTTAAAGTATTGCCTCGAAGTTCTTTGAAGGGTTTCCTCTGTCGGAACCATGACAGTTACATTGTTTTCCTTTTTGAGAAGAAGTAGTCAACTTGGGCGACTCTCCCTGTATTTTCAGTTCTCGTCATTTTCATTGGCTGCCTCAGAGATGAGTGCCGTGGCCTGTGTATTAGTCGTAATAGGAAAGTTTGATAAATTCGATGCCGATTGTAAACGCTTCAGATCAACTGAATGCTGCCTTTGAAGGCTGAAGTTCCACGTTGCTGTAAACATTTGCCTACTTTTCATCCTTATAGGTTGTTGTTGTTAATTGCGAAGTCGTGTCCGACCCATCGCGACCCTATGGACAACGTTCCTCCAGGTCTTCCTGTCCTCTACCATCTTCTGGAGTCCATTTAAATTCACACCTACTGCTTCAGTGACTCCATCCAGCCATCTCATTCTCTGTCGTCCCCTTCTTCTATTGCCCTCAATCTTTCCCAGCATTAGGCTCTTCTCCAGTGAATCCTTCCTTCTCATTAGTTGGCCAAAGTACTTGAGTTTCATCCTTATAGGTTAAGCTTACCTTATTTTATACTCTCAAAGTTATGAAATAAAGACTCGCAGTCGATGCCGATTCAAAAGTAGGGGTTTCATTTCATCGGCTCAGCCAGCCCCAATCGGACTATCGCACTTTTGGAAATGCTATCTTTAAAAAAATTAAGAAATACATTGAAAAACGGTGCAGTTGGTTATCAGTTTGGCAGACACCTAAACTCTAAAGGTTTTACGCATTCATGAAGCTATATTTGGGCTTTCTCCTGCAAAACTGTAGCCGTTGTCCACGTTGCCTTATGCTTCTATATTGCTTCTATATTGCGGAAAACTACAACTGATATTTATTGTAGTTAAAATGTTCTTCATAAACCAGGGGCACTTGGATTCATTCCTCCCAGGGTGGATTTGATTTAAATCAACTCGAGGTTGACTCAGCCTTCCATCCTTCCGGGGTAGGTAAAATGAGGACCCAGATTGTTGGGGGCAATGTAAATATATATATACATTGCTTACTGGTGTACACCGCTTAGAGAGTGCTTGCACTTAAAGCGGTATATAAGTCTCATAAATAAATAAATAGGAAAGGACCTTAATAGTTGGAAATAATCAAAAGCAGTTGGAAAAGAGGCAAACAGAAGACAAAATAATTAGATACCATCATAGATGACATAAATACAAACTGATACAATTCAAAGAAGCAGTTATTGACCAATTTTCCCCAATAATAGTAATAATAATAATAATAATAATAATAATAATAATAATAATAATAATATAATAATAATAATAAAAAAGTTGGAAGGGACCTTGGAGGTCATCTAGTCCAACCCCCTGCTCAGGAAGGAAACCCATACCATTTTGGACAAATGGCTGTCCAGTCTCTTACTGAAAACTTCCATTGTTGGAGCATTCAACGCTTCTGGAGGCAGGTTGTTCCATTGGTTAATTGTTCTGACTGTTAGGAAATTTCTCCTTAGTTCTAGGTTACTTCTCTTCTTGATCAGTTTCCATCCGTTGCTTCTTGTCCTGCCTTCAGGCGCTTTGGAGAACAGCTTGACTCCCTCTTCTTTGGGGCAGCCCCTGAGATATTGGAAGGCTGTTATCATGTCCCCCCTCGTCCTTCTCTTCATTAAACTAGACTTACCCAATTCCAGCAACCGTTCCTTGTATGTTTTAGCCTCCAGTCCCCTGATCCTCTTTGTTGCTCTTCTCTGTACTATTTCTAGAGTCTCAACGTCTTTTTTACATCATGGTGACCAAAACTGGATGCAGTATTCCAAGTGTGGCCTTTGGGTCACAAAGAATTGGAAGCTACAGAAGGACTTGAACATCAAAAACAGCAAAGCTGCTTCCAAAGATCATCATTATTCGATACACCATTATATGTACTTCAGTTTTATAAAGCACCTCGAAAAGAATATAGGTTTTGAAAACAGATTTTGACTGTAGTATATACATTTATACTTTTTTTTTAAAAAAAAAAATTCATTCCATTAACCAGAATAGTAGCAGGCTCTAGTAACAACAGATCCTATCTCCCCTCCCCTCCACCCCTGCCCCTCCCCACGTGTCATCAGAGTTTAATGTTTAGTTTTAATTTAATTTATTTATGTTTTAATGTTCTGTTTAAATACATTTTTATGGCTGTCAGGCATCCAGAATTACCCTGTGGCAAGAAGAGAAGCCAATAACTAAATGAATGAATGAATAATTTAAATAATTTAAATAAATAAATTAAGGATTTCCTTTTTTTCTCCCCAGTTCAGATGTTATTACTCCTATACTCTGCTTTCTCTTCAGATTATATAAGTATTTACCCTGTTGTATTGTACTATCTACCATAATACGGTTCTTTTCACGCTGCCATCCCCCTGTGTATCTATCACTTCCTCATACATTTTCTTTACTATATTCTTTATATATATATATATATATATATATATATATATATATATATATATATACATACACACACACACATATATATATATATATATATATATATACATATATGTGTGTGTATGTGTGTGTGTGTGTGTGTTTTCTGAGGTTTTTGCGTGTGTTTGTATGTAGGTCTTTGGTTATTCGGGTTTTTTCCCGCGTCAAATTGGTATATGGTTCTTTTTTTGTACTAATTTAACAAAATTATCATATGCATCATGTACAGCTCTTTTTTTGTTTGTGAAACTCTGCATTTACTATTGGGGAAGTTTTGGTTTGTGCTTTCCTTAACTAAAGAGCAAGTCTTGTGCATATCTGCTTAATGTAACAGGGAATTAGATTGAAATGCATGGAATCTTTTGTAGGTTGCAACACTGTTTATTCTTACCTTACAGTGGCATTATTTAAATTGAATGTGTTGTAATTTTGAACAACACCATTTATAGTACGGAGTTGACTTACAAGGAAGAGAAATTAATTTGTGCCGAGTTCTGCACGTAAGCAAAGCAAAGAAGGGAACATGTAGAACTGCCTATGTCTTTTCTGCAAATTTTGTTTCCTCTATATAAAATAGGAGAAACATGAACAGCACTCATAAGCACTAGCTAAGTCTTCCAGGTGTATTTATCTTTAGAACATTTTTCTAAGTTAATTTATGTGTTTGTTTGTTTAGAGAATTTGGTGGGAAACAGCCAGAATGACAACTTTGGACACTCAAGTCTTCTGTCGACAGAGCAGTGACAGCCGAGGCTGAAAAGTAAGGAATGAATTCAGCAATATATTCATATTTAAATACAGGCGACATTTCACTTGCAAAAGCTTTTATTGGTTCACAGTTAATTTAAGGGCAATCATTTGGACGTGCAGATACGTACGTGCGTCTGCCATGAATCACTAATTAAGTAATTGCTTATCCAATTTAGTCACCGCCCATCTCGCTCTCAGAATTAACTCTGGCCAATGTATAGCTAAAAGCACAACACTCCGATAAAACTAAAAGGGCGTCAGTAAAATGGGAGCTGGGTAAAACAAATATGGAATAAGTTAAAAGTTTAAAAAGGCTGGGAGGGGGCACCTTCAAGGTGCTTACCACAACCCCAGAGGGTTACATGCCACTCTTGTGAGCCCCCCTCCCATGAGTTGGCAGCATGGATAATTCAGTTAATCAGTTGCTTCCCACCATGCGCCAGCCATTCCCTCTCTCACAGAGACTGGAATTGAATAATAACTTAATTGTACATACTTCTCTCAAGCAAAACAAAAGCAAACAGGCTGATGATGGGATATAGCAGTGGTGGTGAACCTTTTAGAGACCAAGTGCCCAAAAACAGCCCTCGCCTACTCGGCCCCGCCCCGCCTGCCGGGCCACCCACTGCCTCCATGACCCACCGTAGCAGATCGCCCAGGCAGCCCAGCAGCGCCATGGCGGCCATGCCCTCCGCCTGCGTACGGCGGGGCGCGAGAGCGGAGTCTGCTGCCCAGCTGCCATGTCCTTGGCTGCGCTGCTCCGTGCAGGCCATGCTCAGGGGTGACTCTCCTCCAGGGGGGCTGCTGGTGAGGGGGCTGTGGTGGGAGGCGGGGCTGGGGCAATGGCGCGTGTGCCCACAGAGAGGGCCCTGAGTGCCGCCTCTGGCACGCGTGCCATAGGTTCGCCGCCACTGGGATATAGGAAGTAGCGGCTGCCTTGGAAAGAAAAAACGTGGGGAAAAAAACTGGAACACACATAATAGAAGAGGTAACTTCATGGTGGGGGGGATGTTTAAGCATTATTAACCGGATTAAAATTCAGAAAGTAAGTCGGAGGGATGAATGCCATTTGTAAATTATCATGAGCTGATTTGCTCAAGAATAGAAGAAGGGTATCATGCACGGTGGTGAATCATAAGAGAGAACCATTGCTACTGTTGAGACTGCTGTCAGGGTTCCGACAGATGAAACTCTTCGACAGAACTTCGAGGCATTGTTTACCTTAAAGCAGTGGTTCTCAACCTGTGGGTCAGGACCCCATTTGGGGTCGAACAACCATTTCACGGGGGTTGCCAAACAACGCAGTCCGCCATTTTCCCCCCCTTTTCCTTAGCTGTGCTACTCCCTTTTATTCTATTGGCTTTTGAAAGCCAATAGAATAGACTCTCTTGAATAGAGTCTAATTCTATTGGCTTTCAAAAGCCAATATGAATTGTCCAGGCTGTCTCTGCCCTCCTGAGCCCTCCAAAAGTCCCATTCTGCAAACGGTGCTGCACCAGTTGAGTAGTCCTCGACTTACGACTGGTTGGGGGTCGTGGCATTAAAAAGGTTGAGAACCACTGCCTTAAAGAATCTTTATTTTGAGTAGCATAATATCGGCACTTACGAAGCCAAAAATTGGATTCCCCTCCCCTGAGCTCATAGTATGAAAGCAGAATTCTCTCCTTCAATTAATAGTCATAAATCACATTCCCCAATTAGCTTGAAGCTTGGGCTTCCTCTCCAGCTCTCCAGCCCAGCCAATTCTTTATCAGCTCTAAATTCAGTAACCTTGATTCTCATGCTAGGTTTAGTGTTGTTATGTTTAGCTGGACTCTCTTTTACATCCCCCCCTCCCAGCATTATCTAACTCTGAAAGCAAAAGATAAAAGATGGCTGCATTTCCCTTTGTTGTCAATGCAAGAACATCATCCAATGTTAGCAGCGTTGACATCTGCATTTCCTTAAATTTAATCTAAAGGAGGCCACTTGGTTACTGAGATTGAAGAGGTAAGAGGCAAAAGTGAGAAGAGACCAGTGAATGACAACAGGTAGTCCTTGAGTTATGACCACAGTTGAGCCCAAAATTTCTGTGGCTAAGTGAGACAGTAGTTAAGTGAGTTTTATGACTTTTCTTGCCAAAGTTGTTAAGTGAATCGCTGCAGTGGTTAATAATAATAATAATAATAATAATAATAATAATAGTAATAGTAGTAGTAGTAATAATAATAATAATAATAATAATAATAATAATAATAATAACAATAATAATAATAATAACAATAACAATAATAATAATAATAATAGTAATAATAATTTGAAGGGACCTTGGAGGTCATCTAGTAACCCCCTGCTCAGGCAGGAAACTCTATACCATTTCAGACAAATGTTTGTCCAGTCTCTTCTTAAAAACTTCCAATGTTGGAGCATTCACCGCTTCTGGAGGCAGGTGGTTCCACTGGTTAATTGTTCTCACTGTCAGGAAGTTTCTCCTTAGTTCTAGGTTGCTTCTCTCCTTGATGAGTTTCCATCCGTTGCTTCTTGTCCTGCCTTCAGGGGCTTTGGAGAATAGCTTGACTCCCTCTTCTTTATGGCAGCCCCTGAGATACTGGAAGACTGCTATCCTGTCCCCCCTCGTCCTTCTCTTCATTAAACTAGACATTCCCAATTCCAGCAGCCGTTCCTTATATGTTTTAGCCTCCAGTCCCCTAATCATCTTTGTTGCTCTTCTCTGCACTCTTTCTAGAGTCTCAACGTCTTTTTTACATCTTTGTAGGAGCCCCTCAAATATTGGAAGATGCTATCATGTCCCCCCTCATTCTTGTCTTCATTAAACTAGACATACCCAGTTCCAGCCACCGTTCCTTATATGTTTTAGTTTTAGGTTAAGTTAGTTGTTAAGTGAATCTAGCTTCCCCATTGACTCGGCTTCTCAAAAGGTCACAAAAAGGGGGTCACGTGACCACGAGACGGTCACAAATGCAGTTGTCAAGTGTCCGAATTTTGATCGTGTAACCTTGGGGATGCTTGTAGCTGTTGCACGTATGAAAAATGGTCATAAGTTACCTTTTTTTTCCAGTGCCCTTATACCAGTGGTTCTCCACCTGTGGGTCGGGACCCCATTTGGGGTCGAACGACCATTTCACGGGGGTTGCCAAACAACGCAGTCCGACATTTTTCCCCCCTTTTCCTTAGCTGTGCTCCTCCCTTTTATTCTATTGGCTTTTGAAAGCCAATAGAGCAGACTCTCTTGAATAGAGTCTAATTCTATTGGCTTTCAAAAGCCAATAGGAATTGTCCAGGCTGTCTCTGCCCTGCTGAGCCCGCCAAAAGTCCCATTCTGCAAACGGTGCTGCACCATTTGAGTAGTCCTTGACTTACGACCGGTTGGGGTTCGCGGCATTAAAAAGGTTGAGAACCACTGCCTTATACCTTTGGTCACTGAATGGATAGTTACAGGTCAAGGACTTCCTGTGTGTCCATCCCATATTCTTTTCCTTCTTTCTGCCAAACAGTGAAGAGATATATTGCCCTTTCCAGCAATCCAATCTGCTGCAGAGGAACTTTGAAATTAAACTAAAATCTGCAGGTTGGCCATCCCTGCTGGCCTATAGAGTGTGGTCTATGTTGAGTCTCTCTAAATGCCACTGAGGAATCCCGATGAGCAATATTAGTCAAAACATTTTTTTTATTATGAAATACTTTGACAAATGGGTAGTGAATTGGAAGGGACGGGGTTGTTTTTGTTTTAGATTTTTGGCAAGTAGAGAGAAAGCCTACTCAGCCCCACGGTGCCTCACGTCTACACATTTCTTCTCAAAACCCTTTTCTGCATGTGATATTATATAACAGTTGTTTCTGTTTATGTTGCTTGAAAATAATTGTAATTGATGAACAAGGTGTCAGGGTTCCGACTAATGAAGCACTTCAAAGAACTTTCAGGCATGTTTCCTAAAGCCTTTATTACAGAGCTACAAATTGCCGGTCACCATCATGGACGTTTTGATGCCAGAATCTGACTTCCTCTCGCTGGCATCAAACTTTTCTTGCTAAACCCCTCCCTTATCTTGCAGTCACAAGTCACAATATCCAATTAGTGTGAAGGTCAAAAGTTTACTTCCTCTTTCTTTCCTGGGCTTTTTACCCCCCCCCCTACTCTAAGCTATGTATTAACCCAGTAAATACCAGACAGTTTTGCATATTGTCAAAGCAAGAATATACAGTATTTGCAGCATTGACACAAGGAGTGGTTGCAATTGGCAGAGAAGACAAAGGCCCCCCTGTTCTTGTAGCACCAGCTGGGGGGTCTAAAAGGACTCCCAAATTGTGCACCAAACCTATACGGTGGAGGGTTACCCTCCCCAGAGTCCGGTATGTTAATTCTCCAGACCCGAAGGGTCCAAAAAACTAGAACTTCTATGTATTGCTAAGCTTGAGTTGCAGCTGGTTGCTCTCCATCCAGATTCTTACAGCCTCCAAGCACTGACCCAGTACCCAAATGGCATCCATTGCCCAACATGGCGTAGAGAGATGTCATTGGGTATCATCAGCATATGGATGATACCAAACCCTCTGCCAGTAGATGTCCTCTCTCAGAGGCTTCGTGTAGATCAGTGGTTCTCAACCTTTTTAATGCCGCGACCCCCAACGGTCGTAAGGCGAGGACTACTCAACTGGTTGTAAGTCGAGGACTACTCAACTGGTGCAGCACCGTTTGCAGAATGGGACTTTTGGCGGGCTCAGCAGGGCAGAGACAGCCTGGACAATTCCTATTGGCTTTTGAAAGCCAATAGAATTAGACTCTATTTAACACATGATTTTCAGCCTTTATGTTGGACTCCTTTGTTCATGATGTCATCATAAGACTTTTCTATTTTTACAAATCTGGGGTTCTCTCAGCTTAAAAATATCTCTCCATTAATTGTCTGTAGCTCCATTTTAACTACATATACCACTATGACATTCTCTTAACTCAACATTAAGAAAACCAGAAAACCAAAATCATGGCATTCAGCCCTCTCAATTCTTGGC